TCTGGCAATGCCGTGTGATGATCAGGAATACTCCTGTCTGATTGGTCTGTTGTTCTGCAGTTTGATATTTTTGTTATAGATAATGGGTTTGGAAAGAAATTTATGTTAAATTTGTGTTTAATGTTTATTTTGTGTAATGTTAATTTTGTTTAATTTTAATGTTCATTTTTATTACCTTCAAAAATAATGTTTTATTAATCAGGTTGGCATTAAATCACAGTTTATATCACAATTTTCACTGTTATGTTGCATAACTGATTGATAATAATATGACAAAAATGCTTTTGAGCAGCATATCAGCATATTAAAATACATTTTTAGAAGTTTCAGATGAAATTCAGCTTTGTAATCATATAAATAAACTTAAACCAATGTTTGTATTATTTTCATATTGTAAATGTAGTATAAATTGTTCGTATGTCGCAATTTTAATATTTCATAAAATAAATACAGACTTGTTAAGCATAAGTCTTCTTTCAAAAACATTGCAAAAACACAATCACAAACTATTTCTCATATTTTCTCAAATTTCTCTCAATTTTTAATCACATTAATAAACAGAAAATGTTTGTATTATTATTATTTTGTTAACAGTATAAATTGTGTTTGTATGTCACGATTTTATTATTTAAAACAAATTATTTTAATATTTCACTGTATTTTTTATAAAAAATAAATGGTTGTTAAGTGTAAGTCAAACAAATACAAAAATATAACCAATCACAAGCTATTTCTTCCTCAATTTTTTAATGGTTGTTTTTTTTTAAGGAAGAAGCCTTGCAAATACTCAAATGACATATTGTTCAATTTGTTCAAACTACTTATTTAAAATGAACTCAGCTCATTCTTGAAGGATTTTTGGGACAACTTAATTGTTTTATGTTCAATCCACTTAAATTTGTAAAAACTAATAACTTAATTCCTTTAAGTTGCCCAAACACAAATCAATTGTGTAGAGCTTTACAGTTTATTTATTTATTTATTTGGTTGTTTGTTTAATTACTTTTTACTTAGTTTATTTATTTATTTAGCAAAAATCTATGCTTTTTGACACATTTTTAATCAATATTTATTGGAATAAATGTTTAACCAATTAAAATTATTTAAAACAGCTTGCTGCTAAACCTTAAATGCATCGAATTTATTGTGTGGGCAATAAATAATGCACTACAGAATGTTACGTTTACACCACAAACTACAAGTAAATGCATCAGCTTTTTACAGCGAGATACTCACTACTCTTGAGTGCTTTTAAAGTCTACTTTTTACTCATACTTTGAGTAATATTAACAACTCTACTTGCACTACATTTTTAGGCAAGTAATAAACTTTTCCTTGAGTATGATCTTTTTCGTACTCTTTCCAACACTGGTAAATACAATACATTCAGTTAAATAGACATTCACCTAGTTTTTTAAGCGTAAAACGAGATGAACGACTGTGTAACCACTGGCCACCTGCTGAACCGTCAGGACTCAAAAACTCCATTGAAAATACATGAAAATAGTAGGGGGAAATGTAATTTAAAGCAGTGCCTTTAATCTGATCTGAGACCCTCTTTATATTGTATATCTATCAGGCAGTGAAGATCACTGATTTTTAAAGAAATCAGATCTTAAACGTGGCAGTTTTGTAATGGAAAGAGAGTTTACCGGAAGTGCTGAAGCTGGCTGGCTGAAAAATAAAAGTCTATGTGCATATAACCCATTGTTTTCGTTCAATCTACTTCAGTTAGTTGTGTTAATTTAACAGATTTGTGCTGGGATGAGTGAATTGTGTAGAACCTTGTATTTTTTACAGTGAAATGCATTCAAAATACATATCTTGAACATATGCAGGCAAAAAAAAACTCTAATTAGGCTTGGTTTTGGTAAAATGTTAATAATACATTGACATATGCAAGTCTGTGATCATATATGTGCATTGTGTGTATTTATTATTAATAAATGTTCTTTTAATTTCCTTAATTTCCTGAAAAGGAGTGGGTGTGGACATGAAAGGTTTCCATCAGACACATATGGAAGACAATATGCAGTCATTAACACAAAATGAACCTCTTTAGGATGATGGAAGAGCCTCCTTGCTTAGGGGTCCTGATCGGCTTGTCTGCGTTCGTTTTGTGATAATGACTGCACATTGTTGTTTTAATGAGAAAGTTTCTCTTAAAAAATGATCCAGCGGCTAGTAAGAAGGCATCCTGATGTCTCATGCAGTCTGGGCTGGCAAAACAAATCTAAGAGCTCATGAAGAGAGGCTTAAATGCCAACGGAGGGAATAACCTGATATTGGTATAAGGTGCTTCCCTCCAACATAAACCTCTGATCCTCCTGAAATAATGTAAGTCACATTTCCATTTTGGAGGGCATGTTCGCTTTAAAAGCCTCCTGCTGTGGCTTTGCAAATGTTCAATGCATTCAGGTCAGCTGTCAGCCTTTAATATGTAGAGGCTTTCACAAGTCTTTATGTTCCATCTACATCTACAAACGGTTTTTGTACTACATATATGCATAAAGATTTCTTAAAGCTGTTAGTTGATATGCATGTTTATTGGAAGTTTTAGGTTTAGCTTTAGAGTGCAGAAAGTCTTGTATTTCCTGCCTGTGAATCGAGGTTTTAGAGTTGCTGTACTGTAGCATGCTATTGCTCAAAGTTAGTGTTATGGATTCGAACAAACCTCCAACCCTTGTAAACCTCAGTGCACACGCTGCTTTGGACATGAATTATACCTCAAATGATGCTGTTGAGGCGCTTTAATATTTCTCACCCGCTGGATAAAAAATACCATAAGAATTGCGCTGGATGAGTGACCTGTGTATCTGGAGGCCAGAATATTGTAAAGGCTTGGCAAACATAAAGCAAACTCACAACACAAGTCAGAACACCTTAGCAACAGCAACTCCTGGCAACCATTCACAATGCCTGAGCATGGTAGCTTTGAGCCTGCACCTGCAAACATTATTAATATCTAAAAAATGGATGTGTTCGTTAGGCTTGTAAAGAATTTTGGAAGCTGTAAACTTTCAATGTGAATTAACAGTAATATATAGGGAATTATTAGGTAATGTAGTACAAACGAAATCAAAACTAACTATATGATTTTGTTAGCTCACATTTCTAGTTGCCATTTGCAACAATTCATCTGTCCATGTCATTAAGAAATGTTTGCCCTTGTAATCTAAAATTGAATCCTGTAAAGGCACTTCCTGTTTGTTTTCAATGAAATTGACAGATTAAGCATGTCTGAGGTATTGGGGGTGGCTAGCATACACTGACCGGCCACTTTATTAGGTACACCTTACTAAAAACAGGTTGGACCCCCTTTTGCCTTCAGAACCCCTCGTGGCATACATTCAACAAGGTACTGGAAGTATTTCTCAGAGATTTTGGTTCATATTGACATGATAGCATCACGCTGTTGACATGGCGTGTTATCCTGCTGGAAGTAGCCATCAGAAGTTGGTTATACTGTAGTCATAAAAGGATGGACATGGTCAGCAACAATAGTCAGGTAGGCTGTGGCATTGACACAATACTTGATTGGTACTAAAGGGCCCAAAGTGTGCCAAGAAAGTATCATCCACACCATTACACCACTACCATCAGCCTGAACTGTTGATGATACAATGCAGGATGGATCCATGTTTTAGGTTGACACCAAATTCTGACCCTACCATCTAAATGTTGCAGCAGAAATCAAGACTCATCAGACCAGGCAATGTTTTTCCAGTGTTCTATTGTCTAATGGTGTAGTGGTCTTCTGCTGCTGTAGCCCATCCGCCTCAAGGTTAGACGTGTGTTTCAATCAGCTCAATCCAGTCTGGCCATTCTCCTCTGACCTCTGGCATAAACAAGACATTTGCACCCACAGAAATGCTGGTCACTGGATATTTTCTATTTTTTTGGACCATTCTCTGTAAACCCTAGAGATGGCTGTGTGTGAAAATCGTGATAGTTCAGTAGTTTCTGAAATACTTAGACCAGCCTGTCTGGCTCTAACAACCACGCCATGTTCAAAGTCACTTAAATCACCTTTCTTCCCCATGATTGGCTGATTAGACATTTGTGTTAATGAGCAGTTGGACAGGTGTACCTAATAAAGTGGCCGGTGAGTGTACTCAGCCACGCCCCTCCAACTGTCAGTTTTGACAACAAACAGAAATGGTGTAGAGGAGGCGTCTGTTAGGTTGTAATAACTCTTCTGAGACCCTTTTCCCCATCTTTATAAATTAAATGCCTACTTTACTGCATTCAATCAGCTCGCAGTAGAAAAAACAAGCCACGCCCACTGTTGTCTCATTTAATATTCAGTTTCTCAAGAAAATGCATCACAATTTAAAAAAAAAACTTCCAGTTCTTGCGGACTTTAAAGGGAATAAACTGGAAATTTACAAAAATGCACATTAGCCAATAACGGAATAAGGTTATATATATTAATTAAATAAATCTAGCAAGATAATCTTTGTTAAAGCAACCACATTTAATCCAATTTCAGTTAAATTTCTACCCTGCTCATTTATCAATTACATGCACTCATGCAGGGGGAGGTGGGATTCTCAATCCATATACATAGCCTTATATTGTAGCCAGCCAGCCAGTAAATCAGAAATGCCAACTGTAAGAAAGCACTATTTCATTGACAATTTATGAGCTCAAGCTGTGCTCTTCTATTTTCTGCTAGCCAGTTCTTATGGAGAAGGCTGGAGTGATGATGCTGAAAATTTAGTTTTGAATTACAGCAATAAATTAGTTTTTCAAACATATATTTAAATAGAAAAAAGTTATTTTAATTTGTGATAATATATCACTATATTACAGTTTTACTGTATTTATAATCAAATAAATGCACCCTTATAATACTAAGTATTTTTAAAAGAAATCTTACTGCCACCAAATATGGCAGTGTACTGTATGTTCTCTTGTTTGACATTATTCAAATATGCAAGTAATCATTTTTCCCCCTATTTCTTCACAGAGAGTGTGGTTTGTAAACACCTGGAGCCATGGCACCTGCTGTTGGAGGTCCTGTTGGCTACACTCCTCCTGAGGGGGGCTGGGGCTGGGCTGTAGTGCTTGGTGCCTTCATATCTATCGGTTTCTCCTACGCCTTCCCAAAGTCCATTACTGTGTTTTTCAAGGAAATTGAAGTGATCTTCAATGCCACCAGCAGTCAAGTGTCCTGGATCTCTTCTATCATGCTCGCTGTCATGTATGGAGGAGGTAAAAAGTGTCTTACTGCCTTTTCCCCCTAAAAGGACTACATTTAGATTTCAGAAACCTTTTTTTTTTGTGACCATTAAGTGAACTGCAGGGAGCGTCTTATTTCTTGTGCTCGGCCTATAATGTGCTAGAGGCTAAGGCCCATAGCCTGCTATGAGGTCACAGGTATTTTTCTATACTCTAAGCAAAATGTGAAGTTCTATGAATGAAAAACCCTGTTGCTCACATCAACTGTTTAGTGATGTTTAATAATTATACTTACAGCTTTAGTAAAATAATTTGGGCATTATTAAAGTGGAAAGTAGAAATTTGGGGTTAGCAATTTTGTGTGTACTTGTTTTGTACATTTTGGGATTGCTTTTGTATGTTTTTCGTAGCAAAATCTGGCTACACTATATCAACAGGACTTAAACTGACAGGCTGTGAAAAGAACCACTGATAGTTTAATTTAGAGCAGACCACATTTAGTATGAAAAACGCATGGATCATCATGGATTTTTGATCATCATGAATTTTAGCATCACTTCTACTGTAAATGGTAGCATGTAACATGGGGCTTAGCAGGCTGGCCAGTTAAGTTTTTGGCTGCGTCAGAAACCGCCTACTATTCAGTAGGTTCTATATTTGAATTTAAACGTACTACTCAGCCGTTAGAAAAATATGTTCTATAGAGTATGAATGTGAGCAGTATGAATGGAATTCGGATGTACTACATTCACCATTTTGTCATAGTCATGTGACCTACCTGCGTCAGTTGCGTCCCTTCACTTCCATTCATGAATTCTTCATTCATGCGGCGCATCATGGGATAGTGCAGCGTGCATAGGATGCACACTCCAGAATTTCGCCGGAAGTGTTAAGTCATCCGGTTACTTCTCGCATACTGATTTTTAAATTCTATGAATTCGTACATTCTACTCGGCTCGCATACTGATTTTAGCATACTATATAGTATGGAAGTATGCAATTTCAGATGCAGCGCCAGTTTAGTTTGCACCAATCTTGGGTTTTAGGTACCATGAAGGCAGCTTAACTTTAATCACTCGTTGTTGTCATGATTTTATAGAGATGCTGACATGAGCTCCCTTTATAGTACCTAAAACCCAGAATTGGTGCAAACTAAACTGAAACATAACTGGTTAGCCAGCTAATCCCAATAGCAAAGGTTGTCAAAACAGTAGCATAATACCTCTTACACAACAAATTAATAGAACATTATTTGATACTGTTATTAATGGTAAAGTTTAGTAGCTAGCTAATCATTTATAGAAGAGGATATGCTAAAATTCAAAGCTATAATTCTAGATTCAATAATCTAGAGCAAGCTGTCATTCATCATACACCAAATCATATTAATGAAAATTATTAAAGCAAAACGTATTAACGTACTGCTTCGTGAAACAAACTATACATGGTATGTAGCATTATTATAATGCTCACTAACTTTCAAACACTGGCTACTGCTATGAAGCATTATTTAATGCTCTAAACGATACTGGAATTCGATACCAATCGGTACTGAAATTTTAAAAACGTCCATTTCCCGCAAACATTTGAGTGCATACTTAAACAGCGCTGACTGGCCATTGTGTTCACATGCTCAACAGAAATGACTCTGATTGGCTGTGAAGGTCATCAGTTCACCAAACTCACTGCTGTTTACTGAATTTAATCACAGATACAGGGACACTTAAGCATTTTACAGCCATGAAGATCAGTCGATTTATCAGCAGATCGATCGTATGTCAGCTTATAAACAGACCAGCTGCTTTGTGGCTTTGAATCACTCCAGTGTCCCTGTATCTGTGCTCAACAGTGCTCAAATGTTAGTGGGAAATGGACATTTAAAAATTTCAGCACTGATTGGTATCAAATTCTGGTATCGTGACAACACTAGCTTCAATATACTCACAGTGAAGTATTTTTTTTCTTTGATTAAAGATAAAATATATTGCAATTACCTGAATATGAAAATATGTGCAGTGCTTACAACTCTGTAGCACAATTAAACATACTAAAACTGAAAGCAATGAAGAAAACAGGAGTTAAGAAAGCATCTGATCTCAGCAATGTAAATATGTTTGCCCAAACTGCTAGACTACTCTACCTTACAAAAGTCTTGTCATCGATCGCAGTTGTAAGAGCAACTAATTTGACTTCTAGTTGATCTTTTGGAAAAGTGGCAGAAGGTCGATTTTTCTGATGAATCATCTGTTGACCTGCATCCCATTCATCACAAATACTGCTGAAGACCTACTGGAACCCGCATGAACCCAAAATTCCCCAAGTAATCAGACAAGTTTGGTAAAGGAACAATCATGGTTTGGGGTTACATTCAGTATGGAGGAGTAGAGTAGAGTAGATCAACATCATCAGCCTGAGGTATCAAGACATTTGTGCTGCCCAATACATCACAATCCACAGGAGAGGGCAAATTCTTCAGCAGGATAGCGCTCCTCATTCTTCAGCCTCCACATCAAAGTTCCTGAAAGCAAAGAAGGTCAAGGACTCCAGTATTGGCCAGCCCAGGCACCAGACATAAACATTATTGAGCAAGTCTGGGGAAAGATGAAGAAGGAGGCATTAAAGTTGAATCCAAAGTATCTTGATGAACTCTAGGAGTCCTGCAAGAACACTTTCTTTGCCATTCCAGATGACTTTATTAATAAGTTATTTGACTTACGGTCCTAATTAAATAATTAAAAATCAAGGCATGATCATATTTTATTTTGGTAAAATAAGCGTAATCTAGAGGCCTTTGCCTTTCATATAATCCTCTTCTGATACCAAGTGATAACTAGAAGTCAAGTTATTATTTTTTGTTCATAGAACTTGGTTAGTCGACAAGACTTTTGTCAGGTAGTGATTATTGGCTATGTAAAACTAACCCTTTTCTTTGCACAACACGTCGATGTTACAGTATAAAATGCAAAAAAAAAAAGCATTCATTTAGTGTCACAGTACAGAAGAGAAACTGTAAAGAAAATCTAAATGTCTTTTTTATTGTCGCAACAAAAAAAGTCCTTCACATAAAAAAGTCTGCAGACTTTCATAAATGACAATGGAAGTTTTATTTTCATTAAAACCTATTCACACGCATAAAAACATGATTAATGCATGAAAATGATGTCAAATAGCCCACTTAAATCACTCCCTATATCATAAAAACCAATGATTTTGAATTAATAATGGTTTCCCATACTTAATGTTTGCATTGATTTAAAACTCGAGTTGCTTAAATAATACATTACATAAATTTTGTCCTTGAGTCACTTCTAAATCAAGCCATTTTGTCATCTGTTCAAGCCGGTGGTGAAATCATGGCTCAGATAATGAAGATCCCAACGCATTTTGTCAATGAATATGGAATGAGTGAAAGACCCTTATTCATTTAAATGTAGAAGCCAGATTCATGCTAGACAAGGTTTAGACATCAACCACCGGCTGCTTCGCTGAGAGATTGAGCTCTGAATGGGCAACTCGATCTCCCTCTGGAGTCTTTCTTCTCAGTCAGCTCTTTATTCTGCAAGTGTCAGATGTTTTCCTTGGAGAGAGATGAGGAGATGAGACGCCTAACTCAGGAGTCACACAGACTTGTGATGACTATAGCGTCAATAGCAAACTTGTCTCAGGAAGTGGAGCAGCAGCAAATGATGTCAACACACTCACGTAGGCAGACTAAATTGCACGCTTTCCTTCTCACGATACTGAGCAACAAATATAAAAAAGAAACTGCAGATATATGAAATGCGGGTATGAGTTGCTGATGATATTGTGCTTATTTTTGGTTATACTCAAGGTATAAATACTAAAGCCAATTAGTGCACTATTGTGTCAGTGTGGTTTGCTTATGCTTAACCTTTAGAAAAGGCACCAGGGAATTGAGTTGCACAAAAATAAAAGCTTTTTGATCTTTTTTGAACTTATCCTCATGTTGTTCCAAACCTGTGACTTTCTTTCGGGAACACATGGAATGTTTAAGGGTTAGTTCACCCATAATTGAATATTTAGGCCGTACTTACACTAGGTACAATTGCCTCGAACCGGGCCAAAGCACGCTTGTCCCCCTCCTGTTTCCCCCGACGGCCCGCACTTACACCACAATCGGGCCAAGGCACGCTTGCGTCTCTGCTGCTGTGCTGTTCAGTGTAAAGCGCTCTCACTCAGCAGCGCAGTAGGGATTTCTCTAGTTATATTGTTTCAGTCGTTTGATATGCAGTGACATGCAGTAAAATATTTCGCCAAACAGTCCTTAGGGATGCAGTGACACGCAGTCAGGTATTTTGCTGAACAGATCCACCACTTTTGACGCTCATAAAAATCATAAACCCCTCGTGCTGCAGGAATGAGAAGGTTTGCTGAAGGTGCGCAGCTGTGGTGCAGTGAGGGGTTTGTGTCTTTAATAAACTACGGCATTTTGCGTTTATTGAATAGTAAGAATGATTAAATCCATATGAAACAGTCCCTTAAAGTCACATCTTGATTTCAGTTTCGGGCTTTGGCGCGTTTTGCACTCACACCACAAACGTACCGCGCTCAGGCCCACCTCTTCCAACCGGGCCAGGGCCGGCCAAGTGAACCGTGCCTGAGCCCGATTCAGCGCACTCACACTTCTCAAACGATCCGGGAAACGGGCCTGGGCACGGTTCGGATAGCATAGTGTGAGTAGGCCCTTAGTCCCAAATTTATTCAGTCTGGTATAAGTTTCTTTTTTTCTGTTGAACACAAAAGGAGATATTTTGAAGAATTTTAGGGAAACCTGTAAACATTCGCAACAAGAAAAGGAGGGGGGTGAATGATTACAGAATTTTGAATTTTAGGTGAATACCCCTTTACACCATGTACTAACTACATGCAACACAAGCAATTTGAAGAAGCGATTAGTTAACTTTGCTTTTTTTAAAAAGTGTGATAAAACGTAAAATTAAGCAAAGTATGTGCAGAATTGGCGACACGGTGGCTCAGTGGTTAGCACTGTCGCTGGGTCAGTTGGCATCTCT